TGTGAAGGAATTTAGGGAATCATATACACAGTCTACTCCCGTTATAACGAGCACATATACGAGATTCCCTTTTAAAGACGCGCGCGGGTAATTCCGTACGAGGTTATAAACCTTATTATTAAGTAATATTTCAAAAAAAATAATATTGGTTTTCATTCCAACAATAAATACAAAAGTATCAAGATAAAGCTAAAATTTATTTTTACCATGTTTATTCGACACAAGTAATAAAAATATACGCGATTATATAAGCAGAAACGTTCGGCCAATGTCGGATAAGAACGGCGGCTTTCGAACGTATCTGCGAACGAGTCGATCCAGTAGATTCGTTCCGCGGAACAAATCGGCGCGCCGATTTGTTCCGCGGAACCCGGAACAAATCGCCTACCACACCGGCCGGTGTGGTAGGCGATTTTGTCGGCTAGTACCTAGGGTTGAAAATTCAACAAAATATGTCGGGTTTTTCTTTTATTTCTTTTTTTTTTATTCTGCCGGACACGTCTTTTACTTGAGGAATTTTCTTTCTCTTCTTTTCTTTTTTTTAAATTTTTTTTTATTGGTCCTCCTTAATTATCAGCTCGACCACTCATTTCTTTTTGTGTTGACCCCGGCCCCCCCCCCCCCCACCCCACCCCGCATCTCTTTCATTTAAACTACATGTACATCATTCATGCAGCCCACATGCATAATTAGATTCTGTGATGATCAGCCCGGTAATAGGTGGTTGACGTAACACGATATCATATAAAGCAGCATTCAAACCAAGGAAGGCCTGATTAGAAAACACCCCGACATCTGCTTTTACAGGCAAACTAAGCCTATGGCAACAACTGCCCTTTTTGCTAGACCCGACCCAGTCCCCGTCGCTTCGCGACGGCGCTGTCTATAGTTACTGTTTGTGGTCAATCATTGGCCGCAATTATCAACATATTTGAACAACGGGAATCTGCATTTCTATACAAAGTTCTCAAATTGGCAATCGTTGGTGTAGCTAATTTGGAGAAGTTTGATTGGTTGCAAAGGCCGACCAGAATAGTTCATTTTGCTTTAGGGGTGTACCATGGCGTGTATTCAATAATACGTGAGCACGCACGCTCTCCGATGAGATTCGGAACGGATCGGCGGCTAAATATCCCGCCGATTGGTTCCACGGAATGAATCGCCTGGCCGGAACCGATCGCCTGTGACTAGCGGAACGAATCTACGAATCCGGAACAAATCGGCGGGTACATATCCAGGCGATCGGTTCCGGAGGAACCGATCGCCTGCACGGAACAAATCGCCTATGACACCGGCTAGCTAGACGACGTATAGTCGTATAGTTGTACGGATAGAGGCATGCTTGGCCCGCCATATACCCCGTCATATTTACCCTGACTAGCTCTTTACACGACCTTTACCCTAGGGTAGCTCGCCTCCGTTTGAACTGGACTAAGTATGAAGTGCCTCCAGTCCAGTACAAGCTATTTCATTCACCTGAAAAGAATAATAGTATTTCAATAGACAGAATCTGAACTGCATACTTTAGTAATTAGTTGTTGCCTGGTATAGCATAGGACAAACATTATGGCTTGCCCTACCTAGCAATAATAGGCTTACTTAAAATATGCAGTTTGCATTCTGACAATATTGAAATACTATTATTCTTATCAGGTGAATGAAATATTTTGTATTGAGATTCATGTATTTAATTTGGTTACATTACGAAAATGCCCACTAGTATTGCAATGTGGTATAATGACGTCATCTATCTCCTCATCAGACATGCAACTCATTGGGATCCCCGTGCTTGTGGGTTTTCCCCGCCGTCCGTCTGGGAATCCCAACTATTCGTTTTCTAGTCTGCAATTCTAGGAGCATTCAATACTTTGGTTTGTTTATTGTGTACATATAGTGTGGTGCAGTTACAAAGTATTAATGCATTTCAATAAGTATAAGTTATATCTTTTTTCAAAAAGCACTTCACAATATGAACGTATCAATTCTGATCAAAAAAGTTAAATCGATTCTCTTTTTTTAGCGTTCAGAACTGTTATTTCCTAAAGGAGTCTGCAAAAAAAGAGTAAACTGCCTGCATTGCTCAAGATCACGTGATTGCGAAATATATGCTTAAATCTTTCCAGCTGTTTGCTGTAATCATCTTACAGACGGCATAATCTACATACAGCCAGGTCTCTTGTCTGTACCACTACCAGGGTGTATTACAACTGTGCTACTGAAACAGTGCAAGTGTCTTTTGTTGGAGGCTTAATTTTATTATTGTGGTAAACATTTTCAGGTAATTAAGCGATCACTTCTTTTTTTCTTCTTCTCCTTTTCTTGCATTTTTATCGAATACCGGCGATAGTTTGGTTGATCAACTCAATGGCAATGGTTCATATTTCATCCAGTAAACAAGCTGACGTGTTTTGTGCGTACTTATCATTTCATATCCACTCTCAACAAGCAGGGCGTTGCAATTGCACAGGGAGTATGTTATGTTTTTGTTTTCATTTATTTTTTATTCACGTAATAATGGATTAAAATAACAAAAATTTTCATGAACAGTGTATTCTCAGGTAGATCAAGGCCAAATAACAAAAACGTGTTTCTCGTCCGGGCTTTTTAGAAAAAGGAGGAGGCAGGGCAATTAGATCTAGGCCTAGAGTCTATGTTGTAGGCCCATTGTTTTGCAATGTTTAGCTAGACTATGTAATGTTTTTCCAAGATGGCTGCCATGCTAGTTATACTACTAGCTGGCCTAGCCTATTCCCGGCCTATTCATTCACACAATCACAGATATTTCGCTATGTGAGTATGACTGATACAATGTAGGGTCTACGACAAAACAAATGATTTGAATCTCTTTAGAAGCTATGTAAACCAAAATAACACAGGCTTTTGGCTTTTAAAAAAAAATAGAAGAAGAAGAAAAAGGAAGCGGCGGCCAAAATAGGAACGTGGAACACTTCATTTTTATTATTTGGCCTAATTTTAATTTGCCATTTGAGTTTGATTGCAATTTTTAATGGTACAGTACAATGTACTGACTACTGTGAAATGATATCGTCTTATTTCAGTAACTACATTTCTTGGTTACTACTGGCCTTCTTCCATATCCTTTTAGGCCTACACATTTGCATTCTTCATTTGCATAATTTCAGCTCCGATGTTCCATATCATTCACCTTCTCACAGCACAGCCTTTCAGTTTGACTGCCACACCCTTTTTCCATCCTCGCCTTCCAACCCATTCTCTTTGTTGTGTTCTCATTCTCTATTAAAGCATGGCTTGCTTTGTCCTGCTCTAGCAACATGCACTTTCTCTTCGCTCATTGGTTCTATTCGCCTCTCACCTTTGAACTTTCTAACCTTTGAACTGCAGGGGAGTGTTTCATAAAGACTAAGATCGACTCTAAAGATAAACTCCAGTTCTGCTTTAAAAAAAAAAAAATTAAATTAAAAAAATTCTCACAGAACCAAACGAAACTTACACTGAATGTTCAAGATTACAAATAAATGACATGTGCCAAACAATTTTGGAAGAAAATGTATACTGGCTGAGTAATGAGCAGAGAAAGACAAGGAAATCAAGGTATAGTACTAGCCCCGACACCATGTGTGTTGTCCCATATATAGCTTTCTGTGTGCAGTGCTTGTTACTTTACCAAGACTCTGCCAAATTTATTATGATTTTGATGACTCCAGAACCTTACAGTGCACACCAATACTTGCATGCTACATGATCAACTGTTTCTGATCCATTCCACATATGACCAGACCTCACCTTTATCTTTAAATTGTACCTAAATGGGCAGGATGTTCATGCCACTTCTTTAGATAATGTTTTTCCCTTTGATAATGAATTATCAAAAAATGTAAATTCTGTATAGATTTGTGACCATGATTTGTACATCCCTTGAGAGACCAATGCCAGTAAATGGTGAGAGAAAACAGTGACATGGCCTGCCATAGTTAGTCCAACTTAAAGTTGATCCTAATCTTTGTGAAACACACGATCACCTTATCTATTGGTTTCTCTTCTCACATGACTTTTCCCCGATCAGTTTATTTTGTTGTGATGCCTGATGTGTACCATACTACCATGGGCACATATACATGTATGTTATTAGTTTGGAAATTAAATCAGTTCTGTTCCATCCTTCTGAGCTTGTGATTTCAATACTAGATTGATTTGTATGCAGTATGTTTAGCAATTGATTTTGTTCAGCTTTCTGTGTGCCGGTCAAAATATTGAGAAATTGTTGTGAACATGCTCAATCCAGGCTTTCAAAGTAATTCAAAGCGTTGTCAAAATAAAATCATTATTGAAGTGAATTGAATTATATAGAAGCCAGAAAGAAATGTTTTGAACAGGAACCATGGAAACCAGGGTATTTATTATCAATACTATAACTGAGAATAAATATTTCCTGTCTTCTTGTCTTTTGTTTTGGGCAGATTTATAACGTGAAGAAATGAAAATCATAATGAACAATTATTTCTTGACGATAATGTGTATCTTTCTTTTGATTATCTTTATCAAATTACATTTTGTATATCTTTTTAAATTTTAAGTAAAAAGTGAGCAAAGTATGGGTACGTTACAATCAATGAATATGCATAATGTTTGAGGGGGGCTAGGTTGGGCGCTATGATTCAGCAGTAGTAAGTAAGCACCATTTTGGTGGGGAATCAATGGGGGAGGGGAAGGGAGTGAACACTCGTTTATTCCCCTCAACATCCACCCCCCCCCCCCGACCTGAGCAACAACAGGTGGGAGCCATAGACAAAACACTGATAAAGGGTGTCTTTAAACATCTAAAACACCCCCTGTTTGCCAAGGGGGTGTATGAACACCCAAAACACCCCCCCCCCCCCCTCGATTATAATGATCACCATCATCATCATTACAATTATTATTTTTATTAGGCCTACTACTTTTCATTATCATCACCAGTCTCATTATTTTTATATTTCTAATTAATTACATGTACTATTATTATTATTATTGTCCCTTAGACGGAGTGCTGAAGCGACCGATTAGATGGCTTCTATAGGGACTATAGTCGGCGTTGTTGCAGGAGCCGGTGTTGCTGCCGTAGGCGTTCCTGTAGTTCTAGGCGTTGTGGGCTTCACGGGGGCAGGCATCGCCGCTGGGTCCTACGCTGCAGGCATGATGTCATCAGCCGCAGTAGCAGGAGGGGGACAGGTGGCTGCGGGGACTACAGTAGCGGTGTGTCAGTCCATTGGTGCTGCTGGACTCGCCTCGTCTACTACAGCTGCCTTGGGCGCTGGCGGCGCTGCTGTTGCCGCAGTGGTGGCAAAGTTCTTCTAAAACCCCTGCGACAGTGCAGTGTATGGGATTCAACACTAGTATTGAAAGGCATGCCTATCACAAGACACCCTAATCGTTCATAGTGACAGTGACCGCCAAACATCATTATTTTCTGTTAGCATTCATGTGGAATAAAATATTGAATCCTCTCTTTTGACACCAGTTATAATATATTTGTAGTATACTGTTTGTGATCATTATTTAAGAAACAAATATGACCTAGGACACATTTAACTGCATGTTTAATACAGGTTGATACAAAGCGTATAAGTTCTTTTGTGCTGCTTGTTCAACAATGGCAATGGTTGTATGAAAATAAACCAGTACGAATGAATGTTTATTTATAGAATTTGATTGAGCTTAAATGTGTTTATCATCTGGATGTTTATTCTACAACTTAATCTATTTAAATAGTAAATAAAAGTAGCCTTGGAAAAGGCCTTATAAGGTATTATAATATGGAGTTACCTGTTGTATTTTCTTCAGCGGCGGATACCAAATTATGTTGTGTGGAGAGTCGGAGAGAGAGAGAGGGAGAGAGAGAGAGAGAGAGAATGGGATATAAGAGAGAGAACAGGAGAGATATAAGAGAGAGAAAGATGAACAGAGAGATATAAAAGGGAGCTTAGAGAGAGAGAGAACAGGAGAGAGATATAAGAGAAAGAGGGACAGAGAGAATGGGAGAGAGATATAAGAGAAAGAGGGACAGAGAGAACGGGAGAGAGATATATAAAGAGAGATATATTATAAAGAGAAAGGGACAGAGAGATGTAAGAGAGAGAGAGAGAGAGAACAGGAGAGCTATAAGAGAGAGAAAGATGAACAGAGGGATATAAAAGGGAGCTTAGAGAGAGAGAACAGGAGAGAGATATAAGAGAAAGAGGGACAGAGAGAATGGGAGAGAGATATATAAAGAGAGAGATATAAAAGAGAAAGAGGGACAGAGAGATATAAGAGGGAGCTGAGAGAGAGAACAGGAGAGATATGAGAGAGAGAGATGGATAGATAGATATAGGAGGGAGCTGAGAGAGAGAAAGAGGGACAGAGAGAATGGGAGAGATAGAGAGAGAGAGAGATATATATATATATATATATATATATATATATATATATATATATAAGAGAGAGAGAGAGGGGGGGGCAGGGAGATTAAGCACTATTGAAATGCAATTATGCACTACAGGTGAATGAAATATTTGTATCGAGGCACTTTAAAAAGACGTTTGCATTAAATTTGGTTACATTTATACAAAAATATGACTTATTATTTGTATTCATGAAAGGTGAATGAAATCATTCTTAACGAGGCAATATGCATTCACATTAGTGTTTACACCTGTATTTCGAAAATGGCCATTTCCTGAGCTTCTTTTACAGTGATTACTACACTGGTAAACCCAAAGCTTGCCATTGGGTAATTTAATACATACGTCTGTGTAAAATACCTTGTTGTGAATTATTTTATTCACCTGTTATGATTCTATAAAAAGATTACAAGATTATGTTAACACTCCCATTGACTATCTTCATCCGGATTTTCTTCTTTTTTCCCTCGCCAATTTGCTTTACTTTAAAATGAACCTATTAAATCGGGGGGGGGGAGGGGGGCACTCGCATATTAGGACATACGGGGGTGTGCCGCTCTATTGGGTCACTTTTTTTTTACAAAGAATTCCGAAACATGGGTCACACTTTTAACCAAAATACCTTTAAAGATGGGTCCGTTTTGTCAAAATTTCCCCCAAAATGGAAAGCGGGAATACAAAGGAAAAGAGGTAATTGTCAAAACATAATGGTCACCTCTCACAGTTAAAAAAAGAAAGAAGAAGAGGCAATTGTAAGAGGTAAAGGGGCACTTATCAGAGATGGTAAGGGGCACTTCTTTTACATGAATAGGGGCACTTCGGAGAATGAAAATGGGCACCTTTGAGATTGTAATAGAGACATATATCAGAGGTATTAAACGGGGCATTTATGAGAAGGGGAAGTGGCTCTTCTTGAAAAAGAAAAGGGGCATTTATCAGAAGGAAAAAAAGCACTTAGCCTAGAAATAAAAAGGTGGCATGTGTCAAATTAAAAGGGGGCACTTATTACAAAAGAAAATGGCACTTGTAAAAGTAAAATGGGCACCTCTCAGATTTGAAGTGGGACAAAAAATAGGATGGTAACGTTGATTTGATGTTTTTTAAACAAAAAGCTAAACGGGTTCCCCCCCCCTCCCACAGCGTAGTTTTTTCGCCCCCCCCCCCCAAAAAAAAAAGAAATTAGTGTTTCTTTTCCTCCCCCCCCCCTACTCCCTCGCTTATTCAGCGGGCGGATGATTCGCTGCTAAATATTTCCTCAAAATTTGAACCCCCGCCCACCCCCCCCCCCAAAAAAAAAAAGATGTGCTCTTATAATTATTCAGGCACCATTTTTTTCTGCATTTTTTTTCTGCATTTTTTCCAAATAAAATATAACTGAATAACAAAGAACATAATATACAGTCATGTAAGGTATAATACAACATAAACAAACAATAATCTCTTCATGTCTAAATGTTTTTTTTTACATAATGTACATATAACAACGAAACTTATTATTTCCATAACATATCATCATAAATTTAAAGTATTATCCGAACTATTCTGTTGGAAAGTGCAGGTGACCGCAATCATAAGCAAAGCTTGACAAGGATGGCGGCCTAAAAAAAAAAACAAGAACAAAAAAAAAATCTTAAGGTAAAACTTAGAATGAAAAAGAGTTCAAACGATCTTTGATATATCTCATTATGAGATATTCGTGGACCTCACCACCTGATATGAATGACATAATTTGATAACTTGATGATATGAAATCAGAATACAACTCAATTTTTTGAGTGCAAAATGGTTTTATTCATGTAAAATTCAGCTTTGCATCTTTTCAAACTACAAAATGATGGACTGACAGCATGAAGTTACTGATTAAAACAAATCCCAGAGCAGTTTGACTCTTTTTCTGTACTGCACAGCTACACATGGTAAGGGTGCTTTTGCAGACCAACTTCCAGATTAAAAAGATCAATGGTTTTTGAGATATGTGGCGTCAAAACAATTATTCAGAGAGGACAATTTTTAGTTCGGAGAGGACATTATTTTTTGACATGCAGTTAAATGAGGAACTGCCTGATACAAATATAATTCATTATTTTATGGCATTGACGAAACTAGATATATAATGTGCAGGATTTGTTAGAACATATTTTATCACTGTTAGAACCGATTTATGATCTGCATATACATCTTCAATCACCCATTGTAGAGAAATTATCTTCTCCCTCACTTCAAAACTTACCGGTACTAAAAACTTGATTCACATTGAACTAATTATTGTCATATTAAGGTACCTGGACAATACTGTGATTCTATAGTTACAAGTTTTTAGGAATAGTTAACCATATATCAGAGTTTTGGAGATTTTACATGCTTTATACTAAACTTATGAGAGGACTTTATTTTTTGACATATTATTGGTTTATGCTCGTGATCCATCTTTCTTTTATATAAACACAACAATTTTATGTGTGCAACTTATGTAAAATCTCAGACAAAAGTTTTATGTTTCACAAACATTTTGTTTAAAGGGAGACTAACCCCAAAGAATAAGTGTAGGTATTCTGAAAAACGAGATGAGTTCCTGCCTTTTGATGTACACTAAATATTACAAATGTGTACATGTATAAACCACCACGTGATGAACCAAATCACTTTCCTCAGTATGCTTTGACCGACTTTAATATCTCATTTTCGCAGCTTACTTGGATGGATCAAATCAATTTGTCAATTACTCTGACAAAAAGAAACATTCTTAAGACGAAACCACAACTATCCTGCGTAAATCCCCCGCCCCTTTGAAATTAATTTTGCCATTTACGATTTTTTTTTTTTTTTTTTTTTTTTTTTTTTTTTTTTTTTGGTTATGCCTACGCGGCCGATAACCTAATAATAGTAACTAAGATAGCAACATAATGATCGTACCAAATATACAAATGGAAAGGATAAGGATGATAATCATTAGCAAGGCTATTAATGAGAGAAGTCTGAAATTTGCAGAATGATTTGTACATCCAATCCTAATCTGATAAACTTTATCTGCTCTTGTATTGCTTGTGATAGTAAGTAAATCATATGCCAATAAATCGAAGGACCCAATTTATAACAAGGATTGTTTTTGTTTCGCTTCCAGCAATATAATACTCATATAATGCACAATTAATTAAACGTCATGTACAACATTAAGCATTATCATTCAACACTTCATTATAAATATGTACTAGGTCTATTTTCGCCAGTGACCTTATCTTTGCAGGAATTGTTTCATGAGTTTACAAATTTAACTTTTGGGTAAAAACATTCAATACGGAAACAAAAGGTGATAGTGTAATACATGGGCATTAAATGCATCTGATTTTCTCTCTATGAAAGCAAAGTGAAGCCGTCAGTTTGTACAGAGCAAATGGGCTGAATTAAAACACTGCCAGTTGCAAAAATCAAATTTGAAGAAGATAAAATGTATTTATTTATTTATTCAAGTTTTATTTAAAATAGAGGGTATAGGTACATTCAGTTTAACAAAACTGCTTTCCAACTACGCCCTCTAAAACGACATAACAAGTTTGTGATATACAAAAATACAAGGAATATATAAAAACATAACATTCATGAAAACTAAACGTTAGAGTACAAACACATATAACAAACGAAAAATAATTATACCGGTAGAGGGAAATAAGAACGGAGATTCTACTATAATAAATGCTTTGCCAATTTGCATCCGCGCTTAAATATTTGAATTGATTTGGTTGATTGAATTGATGGAGGAAGTTTATTAAATAGGGTGCTTGCTTTATATGAGAATGATCTTTTTTTAAATTCGGTTTTGGGGTATGGGATGTCAAGTAGAGAATTTAATGAATAGCGGGTACAGTAGTTGAAGGTGCGATTATTTATAAGTGATTTTAAATAAGTTGGGGCCATGACATTTATAATTTTAAAAGCTAATAAACAGTAGTGATATTTTAATCTTTGTTCGACCGATTGCCAATTTAAAGTCGTAAGAAGCATACATTGTGGTGTGTCGTAATCCTTATTTCAAATCAATCTCGCAACTTTTGCAGTTTCGATAAATTTGTCTTTGAGCAGTTTCTCCAAGCAGTACAACAATAGTCGATATGTGGTAAATTAATGCAAAATAGAGGTTTACAAGAGTTTTATGGGGTATTAGGCGTTTTAAACGACGAATACATCCAATAGAACGAGATATATAGTACTTATATATTTTTATATGTTCAGACCACGTAAGTTGTAAATCAAATATAACTCCTAAGTATGTCATTGTTTCGACACACTGTAAATTGTTACCATTTAATTTAATTGAGAGACGATTGTTCTCCAACTTTCTTTTTGATCCAAAGGACATCACCATAGTTTTCGGAGGGCGTATATACATCTTATTTATAATTGACTTTAATTTCTCTACAAATGAATATCTCATATGTAACTCTTTTGGATGAAATTATTGCATGATACAAATTCAAGTATTGATCTCATACATAATAATACCACAGCTTCATCAAAGCTATTTATACTGCAATCGTTGCAATAAAGTTTGAAGTATTTACCGAATTAAGTACAAGGTGAAAACAATAATTTAAAACGACATATGAGAGAGTGTTGGTACTGTATTTTATCCTCTATAATTAGCAAAGACTATAATACTGCTACACTATAATAAAATATTGGGCAGATGTTACTTGGTAAATCAAACATGGGCAAATTTTGTCCGATAATTGGGTGATTTTCTCCCAACAATTTACTATGTAAATAAATTGGGTAGGTGATACTTTGCTAATCGATGTTTGGCAACAATAATGCAACAATAGGGTTTTGTTCTGATATTAGAGGAACACAAGGTCAAAGGTTCGAGTCCCGCCGCGATACTATTGTCCTTTTATATATGATATATAATATTTTATCCAACTTATCCAACTTATTTGCCCAACTAGTGTCTAATCTTTTACGGATGGACATTCAACGTGATTCAAGTCCACTCCAAATTTTATTAAGCCGAAACGGAAATTCTTTTTGCCCAATTGATCGTGAGCCCGGCAGCCACTGAGCAGTGCCAGATCGACGTTGCTCTATCCCTTATTGTTGAACGCCAAAGAAGGTAACTCCCATCCTGAAACGTCTTTTGGTATGACGCGGCCGGGGTTCGAACCCATGACCTCCCGGTTGTGAGGCGGACGCTCTACTGACTGAGACAACACAACGGTATTCTTTCTTTGATCCAATGATAGTCACCGCCTTCTGATTATGTGCATTCTGATGAAGCATAAGTTCCCCAAAGGATTATTTTTATTATTATTTTGAATCATAAAAAGCATATCCAGGGTAATAATGTCCGAGGGAAGTTCATGACAATAGATTGTGTCGATCACAAGAATCCCTATGAGCGGAACTAAAAGCATAGCAAATACAGATTCCTATTGTTGTGCATACTCTCTCGTTCTCTCTATCTTGGGCTGTTTTGCTCCTCCTCCTTTCCTTATCAATGTTCCTTCACTCAGGCCTGCATTGGCTGCGATACAAGTTTAAACATCTTTTTCTTTTCTTAAACATTTTTAAAAAGGTAAAGGTAATACTTGGATACAACGTTATAAAAAGGAACAATTTTTACAACATAATATGCAAATTAATTAGTTCAATATAAATTAAGCAATCTGAACAAAGATTTTCTTATATAAACAAAAAGTATAAGGTGAAGGTGCTGCTTCATAACCCATGATAACAAAAATTTGTTATATTTACATATAATGATATGTTGCATTTTTCATTATAACTATATAAGGATCTTGTATCAGAGAAGAGAAGACATAAAAGAACTCTAGCGCCCTCTTGCGACACTTACAAATTTGAAAACATTATCGATCCTGAATTGAATTGGTTTGGTTTATTGAGAAATCACATCAAACAAGCAGCTCGCAGGCTGAAAATGTTCAATTTACAAACAAGTTAAAAATATAGAGAGATATAAACATATACAAAACATACATATTGTAAGTCATTGTAAGATGAAATCGAAATCGCAAAACAAAGTTATAGAGTAATGTAATAATATACTTTCATGTTGAAGAACCAAGACGGTGGGGAGGAGAGAATGGAGAAGAAAAAAGGAAGTTGTTTGACCGAAAGAGTTGAGAAAGTATTTAACAATTGCTAAACAAACATTTCTATTACAAAAAATGAAATTAAGCATTAAAAAAAAACCTATTGGATGGGATGAAATTAAACCGTAAAAGTCAAAATGACAGTCTCTATTCCGTTTTCCCCTTTAATATAAATGTAATGACAGCATTCATCTAGATCGAGAAAGTTGTTCAAATAAAATTAAAATGAGTATTTACATAACAATATCACAATATAGTGTAATTTCGAATTAGATATTGCACATTACTTTGGAAAAAAAGACCCAAGTCAAATAATTGGCAAGGGCATGAATTTGTATTAAAAAGAATATATAAAAGAAGGGAACACTAAAGGCCTAATGAAACAACGGATTAAAATATGTTTACAGTTTTAGGCAGTCTGAGAGTAAATTGGATAAAAGTGTATATTGCAAACGTGTTATTATACCGGTTTGTTTAAAACCATAATAATATATAAAATGAAGTATTTGCGGTTTTTCCATGAACAATTGCAACTAACTCCCATCACGCCTTTTATGTGCATTTTATGCAATTTTAATATTGCAGCTTTTTTTTATTTTTATTTTTTTTATTTTTTTTAAATTTTTTTTTAATTTTTTAATAAAACCATATCACTATTAATTTCATTTCACCAAGGAAAGTCGCTCGTGGGCTTGATTTCCGAAGCCCACGCCAAAGCTATACGGTACACGAAATTGACTGGCGCAAATAATCTTTGAGATTGAAGAGCGCCATCTAAACGAAGAACCAACCAACCATTATCCAACATTTTGGGTGTAGTTTTTTCGGTGACAATTCTAAGGAGAACAAACCAAAGAAGACAATCGAATTCTTCGATTTCACCGATCAACGTGTTCTTGGTAAGCTACAATGAGTAGTTTTATAATCTATTTTATATTTATGATTCAAAATGATGTTTCCGCTGCATATTAAATTGCAAAAACATCTTGCAAACCTGGGTTTAATACCACCGACATTTGATGCGGATAATGTTGGTGTCGCGCTCCCTGAAGTACCGGTACGGGCCCCCAACCCGGTCGGCCTGGGTGGATGCCTTTCTGTTGGTGTTAACTGGTGGTCTTATCAGGAAGACGGACGTCAGGCATTTCTCATGAAATGAGCATTCTTCTCTTCATAATCATAGACATAGATAGTAGACTATATTATATTCTCTGATTACATACCGTATATAAGAAAGGGTCAAGATTTGCGTGATATTCACCTTTTAATTTTATCCTGTTCATGTCATTATTTGATAAATCCAGATCTAGAGTCTAGAGACTCTAGGTCTAGATCTAGACTAGATTCTAGACCTAATAATAAATTTGAATGAAATGCTGATTTTTCTTCTTCTTGCATTAGACTAGACCCTAGGCCTAATTCATAATTGAAATAATGATGTGATGATTTATGAATAATTGAATATGACTGAGTTTAAGACGGAGGTGCAAATGTTCAGTTGCATGAAAAACATTAGACCAAATTTTTCTGTCTCTTTCGTTCGTTAGCCTCTGATTTGGGTAAGGTCGGCTCTCTCTTTAGAAACAGAACAGCCCTATACGCTGTAGTGGACGCGCGTTTGTGTAAAGAAACGTTACACAAAACTTGGCCAAACTTGATCCCTAATTTTGATATTTTGCCGGATGCGTATCCGATGCATTTAAAGTCCTAAATTAGCTAAATGCTTAACTACTTTGGTTCCACTTACCAACTTGACTACTGTTACGGCCCTCCATCCTAGAACGGGTCCTGGATGCTGGAGGGCTGGTCTGTCCCTTGCCTCTATCACCGTCATCTGACGAAGAATTTGCCATCCTGAATAATGCGAGCGGTTTCTATTTGGCTTGTAGTTTAGAGGCCCTGACGTGGCTCCGTTTTCCCAAAATATATATGACTGTGGAGATGAGAGGTGTTTTGGATAGCTGGACGTGTATTCTCTATGAGAGGATTATATTACATCAGTCTATGGAAACTCAACTAATTACACGTTATGAAACGATGGATTGTTTAACTGTATACTTTATTAATACAAACATAAGTCAACTTCTCCAACACGTTATCATAGTTAACACCGACACCGATTACCTGGATTAATCTCAACAAGTAGTAAAGGCAGGGATTGCCTTTTGTAGGAACTCTATTTCTCGCTTCCAGTCCTTTTCCTTACTTTAGCTCAGCTGGAGCAAAGCGGAGAGTTCGCTATCTGACCAAGACGAAGTGACGAAATCTGTGTTCGATACCGCAATTTATAGCATCTGAGACGCTCTGAGAGCTGCTTTACGCATGGTGCGTCCGTAATCGCGCTCTGAGCCCTTACGCCCCAAAAGCTTACTGCCCTCTACGTTTTCTGCAAGATAACTACCTGTAACGGGCTGGTCCGTTACACTACTTAAATCCGTTTAATGGTCCCTTTTCAAGAAATTATGGGTCAAGATCGACATCCATGAAGAAAATCTTGCAGCCTTGTCTCATTCCTTCTAGTCTACGCGGAAGGCAAAATGGTTATAACGGAAATACTGTGCATGTCATTACGATCTCGAGCTACGAGTTAAACAGATTTAAGTAGTCAAGTTGGTAAATGGAACCGAAGTAGTTAAGCATTTAGCTAATTTAGGACTTTAAATGCATCGATACGCATCCGGCAAAATATCAAAATTAGGGATCAAGTTTGGCCAAGTTTTGTGTAACGTTTCTTTACACAAACGCGCGTCTACTACAGCGTATAGGGCTGTTCTGTCTCTAAAGAGAGAGCCGACCTTACCCAAATCAGAGGCTAACGAATGAAAGAGACAGAAATATTCGGTCTAGAAAAACATGTACGATGTACATATATATAGTACCTAGATCTATTCTAAGCCTACATGATGTGTGAAGGGGTGACAAAAGTTTGTGGACATGTTGAAATATTAGAGAATGTGATATTTGATCTATGATTTCTCATTCTCATATTCTACACAAATTTATTTATTTCAATTATTACCAAATGGACGGTAAAGTTTTTTTACTACAAATTGGTATAACTGGAAAATTTATCGTCAAAGGAGAGTCACCACCCTTGCACGTTAAGAACCCATTGTACTATTCGTATAAGAGTAGGGGGAAACCCCAGTGTAATGGTCCACCTGCACACCCCAATCAGGCCGAGTATACAGCATCTGCAATAATCTTCAGTATTGAAGAAGGCAGATTATCTCGAAGAAGAAGAAGAAGATATCGCGATCTAAAAATCGATGTCGGATCGGCGTGTGCGCTGCAACTCAAATATTCATAAAAGCAACGAAACCCTACCTCGCGCCCGGGGGTTTAGAGCTGATTTACCAAAAATGTGATCCATCAATACTACAATAATAATTTGCATGGCAAGATATCATACAATTAGGTTGTACCACTTTTTACTTTAAATTTTGAGAATATTTGCTCTCAAAATGAAGATTTCCAGACCCTTATCGGTAAGTTGATAATCTTTCGGACACAAATGACTGCAAAATTTGCTGATCTTCAGGTTGACCAGGGCTTGTAATAAATGGATTCCGCATCTAAGAGGGCCCTTTGAAGCAGTCCGTTGCACCGAGAGTCTTTTTTCCCCCTATCATAATCCCGTTAATCCCCCACCCGGACCGCACAGCTCGTAAATCTCACTCCCGAAACTGAGTGACATAGGGCTCGCGAAATGCATTGTTGGAAATACACATCGGCTGCTATCGACAAAAATGGCGGCGTACAGTAGGGAAGAGTATTTGGTAGGCGACGATTTAGACTTTCTGACTGATTTTGAGGAAGATTTTCTTGAGCCTGGTGTATGGGAAGTTGGAGACCAATACAAGTTATGCACGTGTGAAATTCCATCAACGGAAAATCTTATTCGTTGCAGCGAACCAGAATGTACGGTTAAATGGTTTCATCGTGAATGCGTAGGCCGCTCCATGTAAATAGGCAGCATTTGAATACATGAATAGTCAATACACTCACAACATACAGTACAAATGCACATAATCATCCCGATGCGGTTGATCGGCAAGTTTGACAGTAGACTCACAATTTTAATTTTTTAATTATTCTTTCTAACATCAGAAAGTTGAACAAATTGTATTTTAATGCTCTTTAGGTGTCATCAATCGTCACTATAGTACTGCCTTTGAATGAAATCAGTTGAGTTTTGTACAGTGGTGTTTGAAATGTTGAGAATCAATAGCACAACTTTCAATACACGGCCAGGGTAGAAATGCAGCTATGTGTGTTTCCCCAACAACATCCAGCATGTACAGCCCAGCGAGCACGGCGGCTTTCGCGTCGCCGGCCCGTACTCGGGGTGAAAAGTGGTGATGAATTGACAACTTCTAACCCTCATTAAACCAAATGCGCAATTATACAACACAGTTTCATTTAGTTATTTTAAGAGATAAACTTATGGACTACCTTCCTAGCTATGTAAAAATTTCGGAAACTTTCGGAAAATGTCAATAATTAGAAGAGAACGTGATGATGATGAGAAACTTGCATTCACTCTAACTCACGATTTCCTTGGTCGATTTCGCTGGTTCAGATGGCTACGTCTTCAGAAGAGTTATCCGAGCACAGCGAAAGCATTTGATAACCAATAGCAGGTTGCCTTGTGCCATAAGTTGTCGATTTTGTATTTTTGTCTGTTATAGCTATATACATCTTCAATGAGTATGACGTCATTTTCTCGGTGACTCGCATGGCTTCAAAGCCTTTTTTTTACGACCAAGTGTTTGGAGAGCTTAGGGAAGCAGGCCGCGTTGCGTAACACTTCGTAACATTTGGATCGCCAGAGGGCATCTGTGGTCTGATAAGGGCGGCTGTTGATGGATTTGATGGCTGAAGAGGGTTACATTACTTGTTGTTAAGCCAAGTTAATCTTGAATATCTTTCCCTCGGGAAATTCTTTCGAGACGGAATCTCCATTAAAGTCTCACCTCCCTGGGTTGACACAACCGGACAGTTGATTTAAAACAGCGATTTAAAACAGCAATTTGAAGAAGTTTGCTAGCGATATTTCATAATCTTCTAAAACTTGTGTTTTACAATATTATTAAGGACAAATATTAATGATGATTAGTGCTATCTAATCAATATTTTTCGTTCAATCTGAAGACAGAAGAGAAGTCTTTATGTTTGTTTAGTGTCTGGACATCCCCCCCCCCCTCCACCTCTCTCTCTCATCATACAGTGAAAGTGAAGCCGCTTGAAATGGCTGCAAGTCATCATGTTGGTTGACCACAGGTCAGAGTCCTCTCAGTTTTCTCTCTTTCTCTGAAAACTGTTGCCACAGAGAAGAAGATGAGTTACATGAAGTAGTCTCGCTAGTCAGACTTCAAAATCCAACAAATTCCCTCTTATTTTAAAGCTGTCTTAATACTAATACTAATTTTATGTTTATTTATATATTAGGCTCTCACACAATTGGTTTCATAGCACTCAACATGGTATGAAGGTGGAAAAATCAGTTAAAGGCCCACTGCACTACTTGTAGCTACTTGCGCCCTCTATATAACAAACAATGCCTAATCGGTGACCGTTGGTCCCCCATGATCCTCTCTTTCTTATGTTAACTGAGAGCTGAGTTGATGAGATAACCACCTGTCCAGTGACCTTGCAGAGCAGTCTAATCCCTCCTGTAAACTACGGCAGATTAGCTTTAAAAGTCTACATTTTTGGAGGGTCCAGACTTAGATTTTGTACACCAATGTGTTCCATGCACTTATTACCGGTAGTGTCAGCCCTGCCAATGAAAATTATATGATAAGAAAAAAAAATTCTGTGTGTAAACTTTGTAAAGCGATATTATGTCAACAACAATGAATAGCATGGTATCATACAAGGTTCTGATGAAGAATCA